GAGGCGCCTGGGTATCTCGAAGTGTGTCCTATTTTGGTAGAGGTACGGGACACTGTACTGACGCCACGGAGGTACTGCATCCCAGGAATTGATGCGGAGCACTGGGATCCGTGCGCCGCCCCTCTGGGCGCACGCGCTTGGCTCATGAAGCTGCGTCCTCACTCGAAAACGGCGTCCGACAACGCAGCACTGCCGGGAGGATGGATCTGCGCCGATCGGCTGCAGCAATGCCCGTCGATTGGCTCGCTTCAGCGACAGGGATCGTGGGGCTGCGATCACCTACGGCGATCGGTGGGGCAAGCAATCGGAGCGGTCCGTGGCGGGCCTTCACCGATGGGTCTACAGGCCGGGTGGAGGCCTTGAAGGCTGAACGGGATTTCGGATTGCGCACCAGCGCCGGTGGTGGCGCAACGCAGCAACTATCTGACGGGTACAAGTGACGGGCCCCACGGGAGTAGATGGAAATAGTTTTGATTTCTCAGTGATTGCTGTGCATAAAAGCACCAAAGCAGGCGAGGATTCCAGGCTGATCGATGAGCAGTTTTTCAGGGAAGGCTAGGGTGAGTTGTGACGTTGTTTCTCTTCAATTCTTCTGTCGCAGGCAGATGTACTTTAGGTGTTTCTGTGAGGTTTGACAGCCCAATAGGGATGCAACCTGCTGTGCACAGAAACATCAGAAATTTGGTCATGAAATTTATAGACTTTTGCTGATGGTGATGGGAATAAGTGAAGTGATTGTGTGAGGGATATAACAATGAGTTTTGCAGAAGCATGCTCAAATGTGGTACGAATGGTAGAGTATGAGGCGCAAGGATGTGATGTGATGTGATGTCCATGTTTCTTTCCATGGTGTGTTTTTCATCCAAGGCCTGGAGATGTACGTGAGCCTGCATGCTCCGGTTTTCCATGGCGTAATAATTTCGCTGGCTATGTGTTCGCAAAGGAGCTGTACGACCGGGGCCGCCTTTTCGATATCATATATCTCTGTCACACAAGGACAGTCAAGATATGATAATTATCGCTGAATATTTGCATCAAGTTTGCATCAACTCAATGTGGGCGCAGCATGTTTTGTAACCCTCACTTCTGTTGGCCTTGGCTGAGCTGCAACACGAATAGCCTTGAGGAGTTTGTTGGTGAAATATTGCTCGGAAATTGCCGCCATTCGATTGATAGTTCCCGTGTCATATTACTAATCTGCTCCTGGAAGCTCACCCCCGGCTGCTGCGACGTTGGCTGGCGCTGGCCCCTCTGAAGCTTCCGCGCAAGCCGCCTGGCCTTGCTTGCCATGGTGGGGATGCGCTTCACCTTCACGCATCCCTGCACCCTCTTCTTTGCCCTCTTCTCATTGGGCGCAGCGCGGCCTCCACGAGGGACGATGTGTTGCGCCTGCTGCCCGTGGTTGGCGGTCTGTGCGGGGCCAGCGCTGGCCTGTGCCTGGACGGACGATGGCTGGGAGGCGATCTGAGCAAGAAGTCCCCGGGAAGGCTGCGCCTGGCTCACGATCTGAGCCCGCCGGATCTGGCGCTCCTGCCGCCTGGCCCTAGCCGCCTGCCTCCCCTTCGCCTTCCAGCCCCCCTCAGCCCTCTTGATGGGCGAATCCTTGTTGCTGACGGGGGGCACTGGCGCGCCGGCCCCCACCTCCTTCAACCTCTTCTCCTCCCTCTTCTTGGAGGGGGAGCTGCGTCCTCCGGAGGAGATGGGTGGGACGGGTGCCTGCGGCGTGGCGAATCTTCAACTACCTTGCGTGTATGCATGCGTGGTGATTGCCATGTGGGGGGCCGTCAGTTGTGAGAGTGCGTGTCGTTTGCGTTTTGAGTCGTTGAGGTTCAAGGCAATCCCTGCCGTTCGCCTAGCGGCGCCGTCTTTTCGCGCCGGTGTGCCTGGCGTGCCTGGCGTGCCTGGCGTGCCTGGCGTGCCTGGTGCGGCCTGGTGTGTCGCTTTTTGTAGATCGCTTTTCAACTTACCTGCGGGACTGCGCCCTTGTGCACGAGGCGCTTGGCCTTGTGTTTGATCTTCTTGGCCCACTTGAATTGGAGGATGGGCCCCGTGGCAATGGGGTAGCCGGGATCGTCCAGCCACTCGTCCGGGACGTCGTGGCTTGCAAGCCCAATTGGGGCCGCCTTCTTGGTGCCCCCAGCCCCTCCTGGCGCCTCTGATTTCTTCTGCGGCTGCGTGTCAGGTCGGGCGCCGGCGCTGGGAACCGGGGGCTCCTTCGCCTTGTCCGTCTCGGCGGGAGCGGAGCCATTGCGCGGCAGCTTGCCGCACCTCTTCTGGAGGGCGGCGATCTTGGCGTTCAGACTCTGGCGCATCTCCGCCTGCATAGCCTCCCAATCCTTGGCGTCCTCAAGCCGCTTCTTCTCCTGGACGGCGCGGCAGCCCTGTCACTCCTTTTCCAAAGAGGCGGGGAGCCCGGAGCGACTCCTCCGCGGAGGGAGAGAGACCCACAGGTGCGGCAAACGGCGGGATCCATCCCATCGCGAAAAATGGCAAGTATGCGATCAGCGGCGTGGCGGGCAGGCCGCTTCTAGGGGAGGGGCGCGGCGGGCGGCCCGCCTCGAAGGGCAAGGCATGGCGGGCCCTCCTCGAAGGGCAAAGCATGGCGGGCCCGACTCGAATTTTCGGACGGTGTGGCCGAGATCTCACCTTCTCCGCCTTCTCCTCTTTTGCCAGGACGGCCATCAGGCCAGAGGGCGGCCCCGGATCTCCGCCCCTGTGGGGCCCATCTGCCTGACCTGCCTGGCCCACCTCGCTGGATGCTGGAGGCGCGTTGGCCAGAACCGCCAAATTCTCCTGCAAAGGCCCGTCCCCAATCACAAGCCGCCCGAGGCCTGCAAGGAGGCGCAGCGCGCGGAGCGACACACCCGGACGCAAAGGTAAGTGTGCCGCGCGCAGTCGCACCTCGTCGCCATGCGGCTTCGACCTGCCCTTGGGGCGGGACGCCCCGCCTGGCCCCTTGGGTCCAGAAGTTGGCCTCAGGGGACCGGCCTTTTTGGGCCGATCCCCGCGGCCCGCACGACCGGGCACCTCCCGCTGCGCCTTCGGCGGGGATCTCTTGCGGGAGGGCCGGCTGGCCGGAGGGGCCGCCAGTCGCGGCCTGGGGCATGGGGCCCCGATGGGCGGGTCGTCAGGGTGATCCTTGGCGGCAGATTCCATCGCGGAATCAAAGCTCGCCTGCACGCGACGGCGCCAGGCCAACCTGGATCGTCGCCGCGGGGGTGCTCGGGGGTCAGAGCGCGGGGGGGCTGCAGTGCGCTCGGTGCGCGGGGGTCTGTGCCTCGTCCGTCGGGAGAGGCAAAGGTGGGCCGGGGGGCGCAGCGGCTCTTGGGGACGCAGGTGCCAGATACGACATGCCCCGTCAGCAGCACGCGTCATCGCCGATGTGTTACGGCACTATACATATATATGCACTTGGAATACAAGATGTTATCCCTGGGGTTACAGCGCATAGAGGGGCATGCATCATCAACAATAAAAAGAACCCCTGCCCGAACGAATAAAAATTATTATTGAAGTTTGAGCAATGCCCAATGCTCTTTGACTGTTTACCCTATACAGATATGATCAATAATCAGTGCTTCAAGAACTTTTGGTTTGGATGTGCTCACACATGTAGAAACGGAAGAGAAATTGTTAACTTAACAATCAGGCAACATCGAGGCAAGCAGCCCGTCTGCAGTACACGCCATCCCAGAATGGCCTATTCTAGGCAGTACCGCTGTGAACCAAAGGATAATAAATGCTCTCAACATCATTGCCAGCCAGTCATTTCCCAAGCCTAAAGTCAGCTGCCATGGACTCAATAGCCAAGTGTCGTTTTCTGTCAATCTGTCCTGTCCAAACCATCACCTACACATCCAACGCCCCACCAGCCAACAGTTTTGGTCCTGTCCTTAGCAACTCAGGCAGTGGCACACCTGCCCAGTACTTCGTTATCCTCAAGGTCGACAACCTGCTTCCACCCGTGCTACAAGCCTGCCCAGATATTGAATGCATCAAACAGCCACCACAACACCCTCCGGTCTCCACCGGCCAATGTATTCTCAAGATTGGATCTTGCAGCTGCCGGGCACCCTTCAAGCCCAACCCCTCCTGAAACTGCAAGCCACATACCACACAGGTAGACGCCCAAGCAATGCCAGCCCAAATGCCAACGGCACTGGCCCCTTCCTGCCAGCCATCCCCACAAGTGCGCAAGACCCCCGGTCGATCCCAATGCGCAGATCACAGAATTCCCGGCATCAAACCTATCATCTGTCATCCAATCCTATTGCATGCCCTGCGGAAGCACCTGCCCTCCCACCTGGGCTGCCAGCTTTTCCAGTTCCAGCTTCTCCACCAACAGTCCTTGAGGCACACTCTTTGGGTACTCCACTTTTACCCTGGAACCCCCTTGGGTAGCTGGGGCTCCTGGCCCCTGCCACCCAGCTGCCCAGCCCCCTCCACGAGCCGCCCAGTGCGATGGACGTTTCCAGACTAGCCCTCAGCTTCAGCGGGTCGCCCATGGCCTGCAGCAGAGAGATGTCGGCCGACGCCGCCATTTCCAGCATCGGCATCTGTGACGCTGACGCCTGCTGTAGCGCGTTGTTGGCCTGGACGGTCGACGCGCTCATACCCTCTGGCGCGCTGACCTGGGCGAAGACTTGCTTCAACACGTCGGGATGTGCCACGCCCTGCATCACACAGAGGTGGGAGAAAATGCAGCACAGCTCGCGCAGAAGAAAGTGGAAGAGGTAGCATGGACCCACTGGGCGATGCACGCAAAATGTTTTAACTGCTGAGCTGGATCAAGGGATCCATTGCTGTTGTTGTTCCGAAAGAGAAAGTGCCAGGCGATTCAAAACGCTGAAGGTTGTTTGTGTGCAAGCAGTCTGTTTGCAGGAGAACGCACATGGAGTGAAAGGATTCCATTGTCTGATATTCCAGTAGGGAGCTGCCATTCAGTGTGTGGGGGAACAGGCAACAGTGGAAGCTTGCCCTTACAGACATTCCAGCCTCACCTGTCCAGCAGGATTGGTTAGAAATCCACTTAGACACTTCAGTAGCAGGCTTACGACCTCTCTGTTCTTTGTCAGCTCGTCCTTTGCCCTCTCGTTGGAAGCCGCCTTATCTGCCTGTAGCTTCACCACCTCTGTATGGAGCCCTTCAACCTCACTCTCCAGCTTGCTGCCATCAACACCAAGGGGTGAGGTTTTCTCCTTCACGTTCTTCCATCAGGAAACAAGAAGCTGGCATCGACATCAGCCAACTGTGACTGACCAAAGACCTTTTCGTTGCCAGACACCATTCCACGATGTGCAAGATGGCGCAGCACTTCCCAGCAACAATAGGTAAATTTAGACTGAGATGTTTTGCTGTCCATGCTGCTCCTTGTTGCGATCCGCAACTAGGAGCAGCATGGACAGCAAAAAATATCTCGGTCTAATTGTAACTATTGTTGCCATTGTCGGCCTCTTGATCAAAATAACACAAGCTCCATGTCTGGTGCAGATACACATACCTCAAACGTCTGCGATCGTCATTCGCCTCTCTTCTGCATGCCGCAGAGTTCTCGGCCTCCATCTTCGCATCGCACAACTCCTTCCTGACTTGCCAGCAGTCGTATCCCAAGTCTTTCACCTCGGCCCCCAGCCACTTCACTTGGCCACCGTCACCCGGCTGTTGCACGAATTCCTGAAAACTGCTCGCCAGCAAATAGTAAAAGACATGCCTGAGCAGGGCACACCACAACACTGGACCCAGACAAGGCACCAAAGACTCGCATCATGACACTCTATTTTTCTCATAACACCCTCCTGAGGGCAGTGGACAAGCAGTGCCCATCAGTGAACATGTACTGGTCGTCGGTTCCATAACGATTGCAGTCCAGGTTTGTAGAGTACTGACTGCCCGGCGTTGTCGGATAGGCAATGTCTTTGCAGCTCGTCAGACATTCTGTGCGAGGCTAAAGACAAGTCAACCACCTTTGTGTGTCAGGTGTCCTTTGACAGAATCTGGAAGCAATTTGACAGTTCTGCCAACAGGTGCACATAAGCAACAGATTTCAATAATCCGGAGTCTAAAAAGGAAGTACAGGGTTGTAGGCAAAGCAAGCTATGGATGCCACAAAGATTAAGGGATGGTAGCAGCCTTACATTCAGATTCACCCCACCATCAAATGTTATGTAACAGTAGGAATTAGGAAAGGAGAGAATCATCAACTATGGTGGCAATGTTATAGAGGTATCTCGATGATCAATGCAGCGAGGCAATATAGCATGCAACGTCAAGAGAAAACGCATTATGCCAGGATGAGTATAATCTGCCACCCGTGTCCCAGCTGTGCATCAGGGTCCAAGAATGGGCAATTGGATCAACCATGTTAAGAGCCACTGCACATATTTACAGTACACACAAGGCCGGATTCTTGCATACCTCTCTGCTTTCTGGAGGAGCAGCCATCTGTATTCTTACACTGACACTGCAATCTGTTGCATTCTGAGAACACTATAGCTTAATTTCTGGGGACAGGATTCACCAATTTTGATGCTGGAAATCGCTCCATTCTTGTAGTACAAAACGCTGAATTTGCATCTCAAGCAGGATGCACAGCAGTACTCGCACAAGACATGCGCTGCAATGTACTGAGGACCTATACTGCAATACAAAACCGCAGAACTGTGACCAACGAACCCAAGATTCACCACATCTGTCTGGTGACTACTCAGGAAGCTGCTAAACTGGGCCCATGGCTGCAGGATGCACAGCCAACTTTGAGCACTGCCAGGAGGCGACAGCTGTGTCGTCCACAATCTGTGAAGCCATAGAGTTGTTCTATTTTAGTGGATGCGATCAACACACGAAATTGGAAAGAAACACATGTAATAGCGACAATAACGAAAATACCAAATTAAGAAAAGCTGACCTTCAGGAAGGCAGCCTGTCACACTGCCGTATGCATCCGTTTCTGACGGCAGATGGGCTTCGCTGTCATGCGCCGCCTTAGGGAAGTGCTGCCATCGGAAGTATGGCTTGCATCTGCCCACACACAACACATCGGATCCTCAACAATCTGCCATGTGCGATTCGACTGCACATTGGATTTGTTAAGTCTCCAAAGGGAAACAGAGCATCACTGGACTCTGAAAGCCATTTGTTCAGCCAGAGCATTGCAGTTGCCCGACAACTATCCGTGAAATCATAACCCACATGCTGACGACTTGGGGGCTGGGGTTTGCATGAAGCAATGGCCAGGCCGAACATTGTTGGACGTGTTTTATGTGTGCTGACTCCAACATTAGGCAACCTGCTCAACACACCAGGAGATGCGACCCTTGCATTGGGTTGGCTATTTCCTGGGGAGGCACATGTATGCCATAACCATTGACCGTCATCCCTGATGTTCATCTTCTCAAGAAAACACAATCCCGCCAATATTTTGCACTTCACAGTGGTATTGCGTGGTGTAATGCGAGTCTTCAGGCCCATGGACAAAACATGACGACTCACAGTGACCACATGCCACCATGCAACTTCTGCTGGGTGCCCCATGACCGTGCTGGTTCGCTTGACAAACGCCAGGGTGCTGTTTTGCACACTGTCCCCAATGCACCGCAACACACTTTCCAGACTGTCAAAATCACATTCCATGCATGAGCAACAACACAACCTTAACCCACACTTCAGTGCCACTCAGTATCTGCTGTTTACACGGTGACCATGATCATGATGTTCAAGCATCGTCTGCGTTCCTGCAACTTACAAAAGCTGGTTGCTTGTGTGCCGCGTCCTGAGCACACATTTCTCCTTGTGTTGCAGTTCTGCATATTCGCCCTCCTGTGTTTGCGTTGGAAGCCCCAACTTGAGCGCCTGTCGATCGGCTGTGGGGTGCGCACTACACAGCGAGCCCTCTCCATGTCGTGCTGCAGGTGTTGCTGGCTGCCACCTCGCGGGGTGTGGTGAGACATGCTGCAGCAAGCGTAAAGGCGCACACAGCGAGAATTTAGGTTTGAGTTCTTGAGCAAAGTTTTATGTTCAGGCTATGAGTGTTGCCACTGCAGCCTGGGTCATCTCATCTGCACTTAAGCGTTTGACCTTGGCACACAAGCTGCATCAACATTTTGGTGTTGGTGGTGCACAGCCAGCCCACATTCATTTTAGAGCAGATTCACAAGACTTGCCCTGGAAATCATTGCTTTTCCTGAAATGGACTCATACAAACAACACAACAGTGGTGAAGCACTCTTGCTGCACTGATGCCCGTTTGCATGCAAATGTGACACAGGGCACCTGCACGTCTGAGTTCCATTGCCAGGGCATCTTCCATGGAACAGAACTTATTCTGCAGTAAGCTGTGCAGCAGAAATTGAGCAAGCCATGATCCCTAAAAATGCCTCTGGGTGCTGGTGCTACTATTTGACCACTCTCTGCATGTATTGCAGGATGGTGGCGAGTGGACAAAAACGCACATACGAGCGAGAGAACACGTTTTGGGATACATGAATGCCTCGCATCGCATGGGGCGGAAGTGCTTAACTTTGTCCATTTCAGACAAATTTCAACAAAGGAATGAGCTTCACGGTAAATGCAGCCTGTCGCCTCGAGCAAAAACAGGTGGATAGGAACTCAGTTGACCACATTGACGCCTGGCTGACACAAGCAAACGCTAACCTGCCACTATCCGCCTTTCCCTTTTCCGTCCGGCGCCGACAATTGCACAGCGCTCTGCCAGTCAAAGGGAGAACGAGTGTCTTGCGCAAACGCGTGTGCCCGGGCTGTTCACTTGCGAACAGCCCGTTCTGCCGCCGCCGTTCGGGATCGCCCAGCCAGCCCCTGGAGCAAGCCGCGCAGACCCCAAATCCACCACTGCGGGCCCACAAACCAAAAAGCGTTGCATCGCCCGTGGCCATCGGATGGCGAGCACCGGCCAACCATGGGGGCGGCCAACCACCGGGGCGGCAGATCTTCCAGCGCGCGCTGTCGCCACGACGCTTTCCAGGGAGCCACCCCGAGCAAGGCGACACCGGGCGGCATTGCCGCTCCTTGGCAGCGCATGGAGAACGTCCAGCGAGTGTGTGCCAGCTTCGCTCGTGGCAACTTGAAACTTTGAGCGATGTCGCGAGGCTTTCCAGGCACTTCCAGGCAAAAATAATTTACACAGTGAAAGAGCAAAAGTGGCGCCCAATGATGAAACCATCACACAACTTCAATTATTTGCGGCCCAATCAATCGGGAGAAATTCTACTTCTCTGAAGAACAACACAGTGATGCAACAAGGGAATGCTCTTTTCGGTCAGTGTCGCTCCTGGGGCAAGACTCAATATGCGTAGAACACTCGCACCCTCTGAATATTGGCAAAGGCATTATAGACAATGGTGTCCTTCCCTGAGAACCGTCATACGAGAGAAAATGCATTTGCGCACGCGCTAGTTTGCGCATATTGGTTGAAGCTTCATTTTCAATGTTGCCGATGCAACAAGAACGCACTCGCAAGCATGTGTGTTGTCAACGAGAGCCAAACTCTGGTTATGTTCTTCCAAGCACTGACGAGCCATCATGCCTCACCAAGTGCGCCCTCTTCTGAGTTTTTAGCGTGATGAACGTGATTTGAAGAAAGGTGGCAGCTGAAAGCAGAAGAGCGCCTTATAGAAGGCAGTTTGGGCAGTCCAATTGCGGAGAGATGAACACGCCCGTTGGCATAGACAACCATCATCAGAACAATCGCACAGATGATGTGACTTGAAATCGACCGCTTCTGTGCTGAAGCTAAAAGTAGATTTACTCCCCGATTGTGGTTCCCAAATTTCAGATGCACAGTGCGTATAATTTTTATGAATACCAAACCATGGCGTCCTTTCTGCAGGAAGCTTGTAAGAATACCGTCACGGTTTGCGCAAGATATTGCATGTAACGATTGTGTCGCATCAACTCCGACTATGCCTCCAACTGAAGTCATGGAAGCATGGTGCGCTGAAAGCAGTCAAACTCAGCTGAAACGCGCCCCCGGAATCTCAAATTCTCTTAATATGGACGCTGATGGGCGAATCAAGTAGTGTGTTGACTCAGCGGGAGAATTCAAGACGGCTTTACGCAGCACATGCAAAAAACATAGACAGTTCTGTGTGCATCTCATGCCCTTAGGCGCGTTGGTTCTCCACATATTTTATGATCATTTCCAGCTCATCTTG